CGAGAGTTTGGAGTTTTATGTGTGCTGTGGAAGCTAAAAAAAAAAATAAAATAAAAATAAAATGAATGAAGAGTCCTAATGCCACTTCAGCAGGGTGGCCGCGGTTGTGTGGGCAAAGTTCTGAAGCAGATGGAGGATGTGAGCTGCTTTTATATTTGTAAAACCTGAATAAAGCATGAGCGTCACTTCTAACTGTGTTTATAAATTCAGGAATTAACTTCTGCCTCGGAAAGGAGGTAGAACATAGTTAGGTGGAATTCAGTTAGCTTAGTTCAAGTGTTATTCTCGTGTATGCCCTTGATGCAGGCTCCTCAGTTCAAGAGAGACAGGGACCTACTCAAGAGAGTCCAACGGAGAGCTACGAGCATGATTAAGGGACTTGAACATCTGTCCTATGAAGAGAGACTGAGAGACCTGGGGCTGTTTAGTCTTGAGAAGAGAAGGCTGAGAGGGGATCTTATTACTGTATACAAATATCTGAGGATTGAGTATCAAGAGGAAGGGGACAATCTCTTTTCAGTGATGCCCAGTAATAGGATAAGGAATAATAGGTACAAGATAGAACATGGGAAGTTCCACCTCAACATGAGGAGAAACTTCTTTACTGTGAGGGTGATGGAGCACTGGCACAGGCTGCCCAGAGAGGTTGTGGAGTCTCCTTCTCTGGAGACTTTCAAAACCCACCTGGACGCGTTCCTGTGTGGATCCTAGGGGATCCTGCTCTGGCAGGGGGGTTGGACTAGATGATCTCTAGAGGTCACTTCCAGCCCCGCACATTCTATGATTCTATGATTCTGCAGAGCTTACTTGGGTATCATGTACCATCTCTACTACTCCTACAAAAATAAAGTAAAATCAGAGTGCACAGCAACAGTGAAATTCCTGATTATGGGTACACATAAAATAGCATACAAGTAAGTTGTAAACTATTTCCTCCTTGTTTATCAGGTGAGCACAGTAGTATTGTGTTATAGTTTGTGTGTTTGGGATTGCTGCTCTTCCTACAAGCTGTTACTTTAATACATAAAGTTAAACGATTTTCTTCCTGTGTGTTAGGGTAGTTAATTAAATGATAGATCAGAACTGAGCATTGTGGATTTTCAGTTTGTAGAAGGTATTTTTTTTGTCTGTTTAAGGTAATGGAAGTTATAAATAACATTTTAAAGTACGATTTGAATAACTATAGAAATACTGACTTCACTAAACCAGTGAAACATTTCATTCAGAATCTAAACAAATTAATTGCAAGCACACACAGACCATGCTTTACTGTGTTTCCAAAACCTTGATGTTGCATGATATTGTACAGTTTAGCTCTGATGCCTTTGAAACCCTCTAGTGATACAGTATGGAGACAGGAGCCTTGTCTAGCAAAAAAGACTTTTTTTCAGGCAGCATTTGCTCATTTGATTTTTTGTTTTAACTTTTTGTCCCCTCCCTCCTTCTTTTTATTTATATTCCCTGTGCTTTTCAGCACAAAGGAACTCACTGTCTCACTTCCTTGACTCTAAAATTGAAGTAATGGCTCTTTCCTATGAGATGTCAAAAGGCTGAAGACATACTGACTGTGAAATGTTTAAATATCGCAGTAATGAGAATGATGAAGTGCAGTCACTTCTGTTTTATTTGGAAGACTTCTGGTAGCAGAAAGAAGACAGCAACTCCCAGGTAATATGGGAAGATTGGTTGATGCTGGGGAGCAGCGCTACAGCAATACTAGAGGTGCTCCTGGGGGTTGCAGCTGCTTCCCTTTGATTTGAAAGGCTTAAGCGTTTGGATGTGGTTCCTAGGAGCAGCTGGGGACATGTGCTTGTGCTCTAGGATGCGTAACCTTGTTAACTTTTGTTGCTCCAGGGGACGGTGCGCTGGCTTTGCTGGGGTCAGTGTAGTCTGTCGTGGCCAGATGTAGGAGGCCCAGCTGGGCCAGGCTGGAGACAGTGGCCAGGTCTTCATCCTTGCCCCATCCTGGGAGAGAGAGCCTGGGCAGCTCCGCAAGCAGTTGCGCTTTTAGACTTGGTTGGAGCAGAGCTGGTTCGTTCCAGCTCGTTATCGTGCACAGGCGGCTCCGTTGTTAGTTTCACGCTGTCTCAAAAACCTTTTAAGACAAGGCTTGAGCTGCCTCAGTGGCCGATAGCAGAGATCTGAAGTTTATCCCAAGTACATGTGTTACCACGATACAAACCCTTGGCTCCGTGATAGGAGAGGAGGTACACCGGTGTTTAATGTGGGAGGTATCTCTGTGTTTTTCTCCCTAGTCTTTTTAATTTATAATCGTGCAGTTTGATTTCCTGCCTAACCCTACCCTGCAGTTAAAAGGCTAGCTTGAGCAAAATTATTAAGAACATTTCTAGGAGGAGGCACTTCATTGTCTCACAAAGATGAAGCTGAATTCATGAAGAAATGTGGTCTTACATAAATGCCTGTGAGATAGCGATGCTCCTGACAACATACTGTATTTCTTACTCCCATTTTTACTCAATAAGAAGTATTTGATGTGTGCGTTTGAGAATGGTTTGGTGTAGCCTATCAATTAAAAAAAAAGAAAAAAAAAAAGAAAAAGCTTTGATACCTTTCAACTCCAAAGTTGCTAAGACTCGGGTAGCAAGAGATGCTTCATCCCTTGTACAAAAGGTGCCTCTGTGGCTTGTAGCAAAGTGCTGTTTGGCATTTCTTTTGATGAGTTGAAAAGGCAGGCTGTGCAGACACTCTTAGTGAGTCAGACTTTTGTTGATTTGCCTTGCCTAAGGATTTAATTGCAGCTGTGCAGATTTCATAACTATTTTAATGAAGTGATATATGCAGCTCATTTGTTTTTAAGAACAAAATAATAATGCCGTGTTGTAATTAATACACTCTGAGATAGATATTTCTGCCTTTACTTCAAATGTTAGTTTCATGTTTGAAATAGTTATTACTTCTTCTTCAGAATAACTGTGATTGGATTAAAACACATGTAGCGCCTTCCTTATACCTTTTGTTGTACATAAGTATACTTTTCTTTCATTAAGCTGCTATAATGAATAGGTATGAAAAATATGATTGCATCCATGTGTTAAAAAAATCAAGGCTAGTTAAGTAAGTTTAAGGAAGAAAATGTAAAATTGTCGATATTATTAAATACTTGCTCCCTTAAGTAGAACAGAATTATAACTGGATAGTTCTGCTGTCTTCAGAAATGTACTTCATTTTCTGTCACTAGAAGCATAGTTTTAAAATATGAATATGGAACATTATTCTCCTGTTATGATCTGATCAACTGGGAGAAGCTGAGAGGAATAATCTACTACATCTGTAGGAAACTGACTTCTGGTATTTCGAGTGACAAGGTAAACTGGAAGCCAACCAGCCTAGTGGAATGGAGTGTTGCCTTTTAACTTCTATAAAATTATTGAAATGCCTTAAAAATATTTATAATAATATTCCTAATGATTGGGGGCTTTTTAACAGAAGTCTTACATTAGAAGAATAGGAATTACAAGTTCTACTGTGTAAATTCTGTTCTGGTTTTGAGGACAAGAGGGCATATGACTTTATGCAAAGAAAAACGATTATGAAAAACTGTTTAGTTGCTGTGAGTTTAATTTCAATTTAAATTTAAATTTAAAGCATCTGATTCTTGGTACATTTAATATAATTGATTAGAGCGGAGTGAGGGCTTGGAAAGCATTAGTGCATTAGAAATTTTCGTAACAATACAGAAAACAGCATGAGAATTGGTAACATCTATATAGAGAGTACTTTTTTTTTTTTTACTTGTTACATGGTTTGTTAACCTCCTTTGGATGAAGTTACTAGTTTTGGAAAGTGTTTAGACTGGGAATATTGATATTTTTTGATATGTACAGTTACAAAGGAATTTTACAGGGGCAAAGAAATTTTGGTGAGATTGTATTTCCAAGATGAGGTGAAGAGGGTGCTACTTTGTGTTACAGTATCACTGTTATGCTGAAACTGCAGACTATAATAACCTGTGTTCATTTTGAAATCATGTAATGTGTACAGCTTGCTAATAACTTAATTGGTTTGGAGGTAAGTGTTACCAGATTGTATTTTTTAAAATGGAACATTGAATTTTGTAATTTGGTTTTTTTTGGCTACGGAAATTTTCTTGAATGTAATTTTGTTTTGTAGCAGTGGAGATAATTAACATGTTTTACTTGGATCTGTGCTTGCACAGAGGAAACCATGTCTATGGCTGTTTAGAGGAAGAAATAGTAGTATGCTAACTCAATTTAGCACCTGAAAACAGCATGACATTTCCCAGTCTTGCATCACTGCTGCTAAAATTCTATGGTTAAAACTGGAGAGGTTTTGTATGTTGCGAGTACAAGATAAATAAGATTTTTTGCTATGATAGCAAAATAGTAAAACTTTAGTTTTATAGATGAATTGGGTTTGTGTAAGGTGGGACATAGTGAAATGTTTTAGTTCTTTTTTTTTTTTTTTTTTTTAGAGGCTTCTTTGCTGTCAGGTGTATTTAAAAAACAGAGGTTGCAGCAGGTGTCTGAAAGCCTCCAAAGCTGTCCCTGTTTGGATGTGATACAGAAGTTCCACTTTCATATTTCTCAGCCTCTTGGTGGTTATTTTATGTACTAACTTTAGTGGCTAAATTGTAAAACCAGCAGATGCAGCAGGAGGTTACAAGAGTTTCCTTGCAACAGGTGTCATATTAGAAGTTGATTAGGGAGAATTTAAGAAGAAAGGCAAGCAAAAGGCATATTAAAGTAAACAAAATAGATTGAGTTTGGAAAGGTAAGGGAGGAGAAAGGAATCCAATTCTAAATATCTAAAAAAATAGAAATTTTGTGGGGTTTATTTCCAAACCTTATGAATTAAGAAAAACAAAAAAAGAAAAAGTGGGGAGGTAATGGGCTTAGCCTGAGTAGAGGGGCCTCTTCTATGCGAAGACAGTGGCCTTCTTGCTCTCCAGAACCATATGCAGTTGAATAACAGCAAAATCATCTCAGCCTTTAGGAGGCTGCTGTAGTCTGACAACCTGTGTGCACAGTAAGAAGTGGATGGTGCAAAGTTTTGCTCAAGTAGAGATGGTAAATCATCAGGGATGCAGAGGTTCACGTAGATTATGGAGCTCACGTTTGCGAAAACTTTTCATGGTGAAGTAAGGCTAACGTCGCCAAGAAATGAATTGTAAGTCAGAGTAGCGGTGCAGAGTTTATTAACACCTATAAGTACAATCTCTGAAATTAACTCATCTATATAGAAAGTTACTGCTTACACAGTATTAGTTTGTACCTTTCCTTAGGGTCATAGCAGGGGAAAAGGGGGAAAAAAGAAAAAACCTTGACAGCTGACTAATAAGTGGATTATCTCAAGTGTTTTGGCATGTTAGGATTGGCTATGTCTTCTAGTTAGGAACATGTTGATACTTGGCCAGTCTGGTATAAATTGAAGAGCACTGTCTGCACTAATCTATGTATTTCATTGAATTAATATTTAAACTTAATAGTTGAAAATAAGACTTGAAAGCAAGTCCTGCTCAGCTTCTGTAACTTGGGCATTTGTTGATAGACAAACTCACAAAGTTGTCTTTTTTTTTTCTAGTGGGGAAGCTATACCTGTGAGTGTGATTCAATCACAGTTTTTAAACCAGTATATTTTTCTGACTTTACCATGTGACTGCAACTCCAGTTAAGAATGTTGTATATGTATGTTTTATAACTATATATAAATATGTGTGCATATATAAACAGATGTATCTGTGTGTGTTATTGATGGACTATGCAGAGCTTCTCAACTCCAAGCTCTTGTGCTAAAACAGGTGAGGTTGTTCTGAAAGTTGCAGTTGTCTGGCTTGTTTCTCGTGCTGTTAAGTGAAATACCCTTGAGGCTGCTTTCTAGAGGATGTATGTTGGTTAAGTAGTAATCTGACAGAATGCTTTGACTGGCATTTGAACTATATGGGGTGAAACTTCTCTACTCGTTGAGTGAATATTTTGATTTCTGAGTTAAGATGTGCTAATGCCTAGAGTTTGTGAAGCAAAATATTCCTTGTCCTATAGTTGTTCTGTAGATAAATTAGGAACGAATGGTTTGAATCTAGTCTGGAATCTTGAAGGAAGATAAGTGTATGTTGTTGATACTGTATTTCAAGCAGCTGATTGCTACTAAATTGACTTTTTCTTTTCTTTTTTTTTTTTTTGCAGGCTGGAGCTCTTGATTTATTGAAGGAGCTTAAAAATATTCCCATGACCCTTGAGTTGTTACAGGTATGATTTTCATATTGTTGTGGTGCAAATACTAACTGTGTAATGATGATGGTGAAGTCAGCAAATCTGGAAGAAGGTTGTGTTATTAAAGTAGTTTCTGATGCAGAAACTCCTTGGGATAATCAGTGTTATTATAGGGTAACTAGTTTTATTTCACCCCGATTTTAGGGCACTGAAGTGTTTCCTTCCAGCAGCAGGCTCTGAAAGCTTATTTTTCCAAGTTGAAAATAGTGAATTTTGTCATGGGCAAAGGGGAAGAGCTGCTTATAAACTTACCTTGCATACAATCTTAGGTTCTTACGAGCACAGGTGTGTTGTTCCCTTCCCTCTGAAGGACAGTGCACCTGGTTACAACTGATACGTTCTTTTTCCATGTGTAGGTAGTTCTGGTTTTGCAAAGTTTATAACTTTAGCAAATTGTATTTGACCATTTCTTTCACTACCTCCTTCTTCCTCCCGCCATAACTTGCAAGTAGTGTATTTCTTAATGTAATTATACTCCTCCTGTTTTACTCTTTTGAACAGGAGTGGTGGTGTGGTACAATCTCTCTTACATGAATACTTTCTCTAATTTTGCTTCTATCTACATCTCTAACATAGTATTTTATAATTTTTTTTTATAAATTCTTTCAAAAAGTAACTCAGTGAATTTTATTTGCATGTTGTTTGAGGTTGTCATGTAACTCCTCAGTAAACAACTTATCTTCCAAAGTAACTAGGTATTTTCTGTCTTGGAAAATTTTCAAGTCACAAAGGCAAATATAAGACCTGATTTGCTGTGATAGCCACTTAAATAGGAAGAGACTGAAAAGTAAATTTTTTTCTACGTGACAATTAATTGTCACAGATGCAGAATTAGCTATAAAGTTCAAATCTTAAGTGTGAGTAACAACGTCATTCTTGATGTATGCATCCTATATATTTGCAGAATGTAGTTGGTATGTTATTAATAATACAGTTTATGACAGAAAATAGGAATTTGAAAGTGTCATCTTCATGCATGAATGAGCATCACTTGTGACACTGCAACCTTCTCCCCTGTGTCTAATCTCCTTGCTTAAAAAACCAGAACACCTCAAGCCGCACACACAACAACAACAAAACCCAGAAAAATACTCTCTTGACCTGATTCTTTTGACAGTTTTTTGTGCAGGTCTTAACACAAACTGTTTGTGTAATAAGTTTTTTTTTTTCCTTTGGAATGAAGAAATCTCTCAGCAAGTGCTCTGGAAATTCTGTAAATGCTGCTTTGCAAACCTGTTCTGTTTGGTGTGAAAAGTGAGACTAGAAGGAGAAGCTTTACCCAGAGCAGCAGAACAATTTTAACCTTGAATTGTGAGGATCTGAAGAATATATGAGTAGATAACTTGGTCTTTTTTAGTTGCACTGAAAACCTTAGTAATGTTATCAACAATGGAGGACTCTTAATCTTGCTAAAAACAACAAACTCATTTGTTTGCCTTTTAGAGCACTTGTGCGACCTTGAAATAATTTATATAAAGTTACTTATTAATTCTGTCCAGATTTCTATCCTACTTGAAAGAAGCCTATTTATTCTCACTGATATAAGAGATACCTGGCTTTCCGAGGAAATAATATTTGTAGTAAATGATTGCTTTTAATTTGTATTGGAGGTTAGTACCATGTGCATTTGTAAAGAAGATTTCTCTGTGTTATGGTAGGTCTAAAGGGATCGCGTATTGTGGCATACGCTTGCGTAGTAGATTGACTGTAGTTTAGTTAAGAGGTTTCTCTTAAGTACTCACTGCTGTATTCAAAACAGTTCCATTGCATAAGATTGCATCTAGCAATGTGTTTAGACTCAGATTTACATTATTTTTGTCGAGAGTTCTATAAGAGTATAAAGTCTGCCATAAATTTTCTGTGCTAGTCTTCCAAATTTGCTTAAGTGATGGAGGACTTGGAGCAACAGCTGAAATGCAGAATAATCGGCTGCATCGCTCTGGTTGTGGATTGTTAGTGTGCTAACGACAAAAAGGGTGATAATCATGAGAAAGTGGGAGCACTAACTTCCTCTGTGTAGACTGAGATATCTGTTGATATGTCCTGTGTTTCATCAGTTCAAACACAAGTGAAAAGCATACTTCCACACCAATTTTAAAGGAGTTTTGAAAGCAGGCTACATTGAAAAAAACACTGATGTGACAGTTTCACTGTTCCTGTGTAATAGAGAAGTGATGATTTTTCCTGTAACATGACTGTTGCTTCAGTCTGAGCTGATGAGCTCCTCTGAACAATTTACAGGTATGTGAAATAGGGAAGTGCACATTGATGGTTTGGACTTGTGCTTGTGTCCTTCTGGCCTGTTTATCTTGTCACAGAAAGCTGCAGTGGCTACAGGCAATAATACGACTGTGTCATATCTGACGAGTTTTGCGTAAGCGAGCCGATCCTTGCTCAGCTAGGCAGGGAGCCAGTAGCCTCCCTAACACGGAATCTATCCGATAGGCGGTCAGAATCGCAAAGCGGTTTAGCAACCACACAGTGTTAAAGTCATCATGTCCCTGGTGCTAATTGTGGGTAATGTGCAGCTAAACGATGAGTGAGGCAGACGGTCTTCATTTTAGCAAACAGGTTTTACTGGCAGCTACACACACGTATGCAGAACTGGGCTGTGATGCACAGCCCTTCTTAGTGACTCCTTGCCAGTGCCTTGGTGATCTGGGGAGGAGACCTGGGAACCTGGAGGTGGTTATTCTTCAGGACTTGCTTTGGCTCTGCTTTGGTCCAGGTGCTCACCAGTTCTGTGTCTGCATATTCTCTTACTGTTTTAAGTTGGTAACACCTCTGCTTGCTTCAGTGGTTGCTATTCTTCCCCGGTTATGTTCTGTACGTGTTCTCATTTAATCTGGGCTTGGAGAAGAGTAGGTGCCACCATATGCTGTGGTTTAGGTTCAGTCATAGGTTGCTTGTGCTGCTGGTGCCAGCTGGAGGCTGCTCGGCTGACAGCTTGAAAGCTTCAGGGGTGGAAGCAGCCACCCCTGACTCTGAGCCTCTTTGCTCTCAGAAAGCAGCTGAAAAGTGCTCTAGAATTTCAAGTGGGGAAGAGCGATCCCTTAAAAATGCATTTTGGACAGGGTGAGGAGTGATTTTCGTATGCCTGCAAAACTTACAGACTGGCACAGAGGTAAAGCAGTTCCACAGATTATACTAGGTCGGGGAAAAATACTGGAGGTTTCTGCCTAAAGTGGCTTTCACAAGAACAGCTCTGTAGGCTGCAAGACTGAGGAAATTTTAAATGCTGGCGGCCGGTTTGTCATTAAAGCACAGTCACTTTGAGACTATAACGCTGATCCTTTGACAGTTACTTGTGTCAGTTTGCAGGCAAATTACCTGGTAGATTATTCCTTCCCCTCTCTTTAGGTGAGGCCAGACCAAGTACTCTGTAAAAAGCAAACAAGTGAGCTGTGTTCATGTAGTGCCTTAAGACAGCTGGCAGTTTACATAGCGACCATAATGTGTTCCTCTTGAATGATCAGAAGAAATTACTTTTTCCAATTAATTTGGGGTTTTATTTACCTAAGCAGGTCTGAAAGTTGATGTCTTGTTGCTGATGAGGGTAGGCTGTGGTTATGACCAGTTGCCGATGGAGAGTTTTTGGTTTTTTTGTAAATGTGTTCCTTTCATTCAGCGTTTTATGGATTTCCAATTTCCAGTTTCTTATTATCTGAATATAATGTTGGAAATGTGTGTTTAAAATGTCAAGCAAGTTGTCCAGTACTGTTAGTCTGAAATGACCAGGGTCTATCTTGAAACATTTTAGTTACAGGTGAGTAACCATCTGTTCTCTTTAATCCCAAATACGTGCTTAGAGCCGATATTCACACCCGAGGTTATTTGATATGTTTCCTTTGCTGAAATAGCTACTGAATTTTTCTAGTCAGAATGTTTCCATTCATTTAGCACTTCCTTGGTGCCCCAGAAGTGTTGTGTGGGTTGTAAGGAGTAATTTACAGGAACAAATCCTTTCCAATTTTAGCAAGCCACAAAGATTTAAATTTTCCTTTAAAGGAGAAATAAATTTATGATGAACTACTGCAAAAGTAGAATAATTTATATTTAGCAAGTCCCGTAAATAGTAAATGCAACAAAAGCAAGCATCGTAAGAACAATTTAAAGAATTTAGTCATCAATCAAAATATGAAATTATAATAAAATACTTATTTGTGTTGTTAAATACTTCTAGTTTTATGAGAAGTGTGGAAATGTTCTACTTGTAAGAGTAACACATTAGTCAGAAGTCTTCTAAAATGAAACTTCTGTTGCTCTTGAGCTAAATACATGTCCTGATCCAAGTCTAAAAAAAGAATGGATTGTAAATTAACCTCATTCTCACTCTATAGATGGCAGCAGTGCCAAAGGTTTAAAGCCTGTCACATATTGGTCTTTTCGGAGAGGTAGACTAATTGTTTCTATGTGAAAGCAGAACCCTCCGTTCTTAAGCTGTAGAAGAATCTTAGTATTGTGAAAATTATTAGGAACCTAAATTTCTGTCATTCACAGCTGATATTGCAGTGTCTTCCATAGCCGCTAAGTGGGAGTTTTGAGACTATGAAGTCACAGAAGCAGTTGGCAAACTTCTTACCATGCTGAAATATAAATACAGTTATTGCTTCACTGAAAAAGTGAAATTTTGCTGAAAAATTTATATGACAATGAGATACACGATTTTCATGTTGTCATATGTTTTAAATGTTATACTTAGTTCAGGTAAGTAGTTCTGCAGAGCTTTCTGAAATGGTTTGAGAGCAAATATCTTGATTAACTGCCCTTAACCCTCCTGCCCGCTGCCTCCCCCCAACTTCTGTGATGGACACAAATGGTAATATTGTTGCATTCTTTTTCAAAATGTCCATGTGGTTAAAGTCAGTTTTGTAAAGGTTTCCAGCATTTCATCATGATATTCTTAAAAAATAAATGATACCAAAACAAAGAAAAAAGATTCTGTAAAAAAATCATGTTGAAGTACACCTTTATGTATCTTTACTTGTTAAATTGTCTTCATGTCGCCTTTTATAGCATGTATTTTTTCATTGCAGTCTACCAGAATTGGAATGTCGGTGAATGCCATACGCAAGCAAAGCACAGATGAAGAAGTTACATCTTTAGCAAAATCTCTCATCAAGTCTTGGAAGAAACTGTTAGGTATGGCAATGCAAACTTTTTTTTTTCCTACCCTTTGCTCTTGCATGTTTTAGCTGTATGCAGTCTTGATGCAAGTCCGTGACACTGCCTTACTTTAGATATGTTTGAGCTCCTGTGTAAATATCGAAAGTTTCTGCACTGATGTAGTTGTGGTTTACTCTGGCTATCACCAGTGCATTACTGTGAAAGCATATTCAGAGAAAAAGTTAATATATTTTTGTCGTGGCTCGCAAGTAGTAGGAGGGCAGCTTCTGTGGTGACTCATTTCTGAAGTCTCGTTACCTGCTATTGAGCTAGAGTGACTGTACTGCAGTACTAAGCACTAACGAACCGGTTCTGGGCTACTTCCTTTGTCAAGTATAACACATACTCTGGAGAACTTGAGCAAAATCTCATACGAGTGTGGAGGCTTTGTAGCTTGCTCATAAAGTGATTTGCGAAGAGAAAAAAATGTTAAAATATTAAAAAGTTGATGTTAAGAATATGTTAAAACTTACAGGTAGTGGGGAAATAGATCTGTACTTTCTAAACCCTTTGTAGTTTTAAACAACTTACTAATTAGTGAGTTAATGCTGTTTGTTTAATTCCCCTTAAAAGAATGAATGCAGTTAATGAAACCTTTCTGTTAGCAGGATCCTATTCAAGCGTACTTTGTAGTACTTAATGTATTTGAAAACACTTGAATCTCAAAGTATGTCCGGGTATTTTTATTCCTGTACTATGCTATACTCTGATTTGTTTCTTTGTATCTAATTTTGGGTAAATTAAGGTTTAGGAGTCTTAAAATTTTGCGATGAAAAACCATTTACATTATTTTCTACTGGTTTAATTATTTGCCATTCTGTCTAGAAAAATATGATAAATACAAGGAGATGTTAGAGTTCGCTGCCATTTTAAGTCAACCTCATCTCCATTAGTCATAGAGTAATTTATCAGATACTTTATTACTCTTGTAAGTGGTGTACAAATGACTTTGTATCCATCTGACAGCCTATGTATGTAGAAATGGACAATTTGTCACAGCTTTCCACTTGTTTATTCTAGTGGGAAGCAACAACCTCTACAGCAGACTTATTTGTTTAACCTACCTTTAATAGGTTGAATAATACTATATAGGTTTGTTTTGGTAATTAAATTTAGATAATACTAGATACGCTGGTCAGATACTTTTAAAATCATGATAATTACTTTTGTTGTAAATTAAATACATACTTTATAAAGAATCTGATTGGAGTTCACTGGTAAATAGTGAAAATAATGTACTTTCTATGTTTAAATTTCGACTTTAGAACTTGAAGTCCATCTGTATTTTATCCAGTGCATAAAAGTCGTAAGTGGAGAAATGGACCTGCGTATTAACTTGAGTTGCTCTAAAGACTTGTAAAAGCAACAGCTGGATTGAATAACTTGTCTTTAAAGTTGTTAATCTAATTTTAAAAAAAGGAAAAACCCTAATAAACTTGTGTTTTGTTTTTGTTCTTTTTCCCTGAAGTTCAAATTTTTGATACTGCTGCTTAGTTTAGGCAACAAAGTAGAGCAAAGGAATTTCTGTTTATTCGTTGAGACAGTAAAAAGTCCTCTCTCTTTTTTTCTTTTTTTTTTTTAAATACAATATCTTAAGTCAGTCAGCCTTTCTTAATATATCGTTACTGACAGCTGACTGATCTTTAAGTGTTCAAACACTGTGAACCATGGGGAGTGTTATTCCCACCTAGGGCCTGGCGGGCGTTCACCCTGTAGAAGTCTGGAGCAAGAACACGGTGCCTGGTGGTCACAGCAGGTGGGTCTGGCCGTGGGCTGCTGCTGGAAGGGGAGCTCCTGGCTCCCTCCTGTGCTACCACTAGTGCTCAGGTGATGATCCAGGAGACCAGAGCTGGGAACTGACCAGCTGGAAGCTTAATTATTTTGTTCGCTTATTCAGACTTCGAATTTCAACTCTATCAGTGTTTTGGTCCAGCCTGTTTGCAGTTCCTGTTTCCTGCACGGGGTTTGCAGCAGTGACCGACAGCGTGGTGGACCTTCCCCTTCTGCTAGCTTGCTACATTCACGTTATTTTAAGGCAGTTGTGAGGCTCTACTTAAGACTACTTTCATCTAAGACAGGAACTGGAAAGTAAATAGGAAATATTTGGCACTGATCAGAACTGAATACTTTCTTTTGAAGACAGTGCATATGTGACTTTTATTCATGCTCTAATTTTTGTATTGTGCAAGGGTTAGTATAGCTGTGGTTATGCACTTATTGTATAAAATCAAATTATTCCTGAAAATACAGCACTGCTTTTATTCAGAGCTTACATACTCTCAGTTGTAATGTAGACCTTGCAGTCAAACGTAGTAGGGCAAATGTCTTGCCTGTAGTTTTACTGCTAAGTAATTCATTAGAACTCATAACTGTGGCAGATAGAGTATCTGGGCTGAGCAAAGTATGGGTGGGAATCTTACCAAGTGCTTGTATTCTGTTTTATCGTTAGTTTTGACTTTCTTGGAAGAGTATGAAATACTGTAGGTTGAGCTGCTTGAGAAATCGGTTTAAACTGTGCTATTTATAGTGCTTGTAAAGTGGTTTGAATCAAAGATGGCAACAGAAGTGGACAACTGTTAATTGTATCAAGCGTCGTACTCAGAGATCTGAAGTCTTTGTGAGTTATTTTTATGAGTGACGTTTTGAATTTAGGCAGGAGTTATTGACTGTCGGGGTGCTTGTACTGTTTCAGTTCGGTGCTGTCGGAACTTAAGTTTTAAGAATGCGTGGGAAACATGAGACGAAATCAAAGTACGGCTGTGAATCGCCAGATGTTTTTGGCTTGGCCAGAGCAATGCCAAGTCACCAGTGGTTTTTCTGGGAGCTGCCCTTCAGAGGGCCTGCCAGCCCTGTCTGAAGTGACTCACTGGCTGAGCTACAGTGGGAGATCGCTTTCAGATGTTGCTGTAAGACCGTCAAACCGCGCAGCCGAGTTGGTCACAGTTTACATAATGAAGCAAATTCTGCTCTCGGAATAAAATACTCTGCAGTTGTAACCTGGGATTTGCAAATAACTGTTGTTTCGCCAAGTAGCTGCGTCTGTAGAGTGTGCTATGCAGATAAAGAATCTGTGCATACCCATTTAGGTTATGAGGAGTGTTCCTTTTGTATTAAAAAAACCACAATAAAAAATTCTTTAAGGAATTTAACATTTTCCATCACAAATAATTATTTCCTGAAATCTAAGAGAATACAGTGAAAAGGAATGCCCAGACCTCTATACTGAGTAAACCTAACTCCACTAAGTTTGTGAAATGCAGAATGATTGGACAGGAATTTTAACTTTAAGTACGATTATTGGTTGCCAGTATGAGAAACTAAGAATGGGGCCGTGAACATTTTGAAATGTCTCTTTAAAAAAAGTGCATGTCTGAGTAATTTTATTTAAAGAAACCCAACTTTTAAGTGTTTCATGTTGTCGAAAGAAGGTAACACCAGCCAAACTTCACAGAAGTATTTTACTCGGTTTACTTTGTTCATACAATCCTTTGTTACTTCAAACCTGGCTTTGATTCTGCTGGAGCAACCTGGCACAGTCTAGAACTGTCTCAGACATATGTTAATGCTGTCATTAGGTAAAGTGGTTTGAGAACATCTAGTAATCTACTGGCTTTGCTCAAATTGTTATTAATAAAGCAAGTTCTTAAGTTGCAGTCTTAATAGTGTTTAAGAGTATTGTTTACTGTTGATAAGAAGAATACATGGCTTTATAAGATATCAGGTAGAGTAAAAGGTGAAAATAATTTCAGTAGTTTCATTTCCGTGTCAAGTATGAGCTATGGAAATAAATTCCTGTAAAATACAGATTTGGAACTGTTCCATGTACAACTAGATCTGTAATTTTTTACAATTGTCATTGGGGAGATAGTAACACGTGCTGCAAATTATGTGATAGCAGATAGGAGGAAACACATGTATAGCGAAGAAGTTAAGGTGTTTTGCTCTTCTGTCACTTATGATAGTCTTTAAAAATGGTAAGTAAATAGTTCATGATTTTGTTGTTTGTTTCTAGATTTTAGATGTTATTCCCTCCTATGCTACTATGAGAAAGAAGCTTTTCTGTTTTTCACTTTTGTGTCCTGCAGAGGAGTTGTTGACAGGTGTCGCTGCTTGCGCAGCTTAAGGTTATTTTGATCGGTGTCTGGAAAATGAGGCCTAAAGTATTATTAAATGACAGGATCATTGTTAAATTCTTGCCTATGTCACCTGTTACCTGTTATTATCTCTTTCCTTTAGCTTAGTTAAAAAACTTGCCAAGAAACTTTCCAAGTTCTGGTGGTGATATCTCAATCAGTAACATAGGAGAACCCACTAAATTAAATTCTTACGTGCTCCCAGGGAATAACTAGCCACGTTTCATTAGCGCTTCTGGAGAACTCTTACTTTAAAAAAATTCTGAAATTTAAAGTTAAATTTATAAATTGATAACATTGCATCTTTTTATTCTCTCATATTTTTTTCTTGATACTAGTAAATGTCTTGAGGTTACTTGTCATATAATTAGTTGAATCTATGGTGAAGGAACTGGCGGCTGAAGTTGCTAGGCCACTGGCCATCATATTTGAGAGGTCCTGGCAGTCTGGTGAGGTTCCCACAGACTGGAAAAGGGGGAACATACCCCCTATCTTTAAAAAAGGGACCAAGGACAACCCGGGGAACTATAGGCCAGTCAGCCTTACCTCTGTGCCAGGTAAAATCATGGAACAGATTCTCCTGGCAGCTGTACTAAGCCACATAAAAAATAATCAAGTGGTTGGTGACAGCCAGCATGGCTTCACTAGGGGCAGGTCGTGCCTGACTAATTTAGTGGCCTTCTATGACAAAGCTACAGTGCTGGTTGACGTAGGAAAAGCAACGGATGTCATTTTCCTGGACTTGTGCAAGGTGTTTGACACTGTCCCACATGACATCCTTGTCTCTAAAATGGAGAGACGTGGATTTGACAGATGGACCTCTTGGTGGATAAAGAACTGGCTGGATGGTCACACTCAAAGAGTTGTGGTCAGTGGCTCAAAGTCCACATGGAGACCAGTGACAAGCGGTGTTCCTCAGGGCTCTGTTCTGGGTCCAGGTCTGTTCAGCATCTTTGTCAGTAACATGGATGATGGCACTGAGTGCAACCTCAGTCAGTT